ACCTTCACACAGACAATGCACCTAAAGTAAAGTTTTTTTTAAAAAATTATTTAAAAAAAAAAAAAGGAAAAGCTGGGTGTCATGGAGCACAGCTTTAATCCCAGCACTCGGGAAGCAGAGGCAGATGGATCTCTATGGAGGCCAGCCTGGTCTACAATGAGTTCCAGGACAGCAAGGGCTACATAATAGACCCTGTCTAAAAATAAATAAAAAATAGAAATTGAAAAGAAATTTTCCTGTTTGTGTGTGTGCCTGCAGAAGCCAGAAGAGGGCATCAGATCCCCCGGAGCTGGAGTCCAGGTAGTTAATGAGCTGCCTGACATCATCTTACGAGCTGATATTGGGTCCTCGGGAAAAGCAGCAAACCCCTCTGAGTTTTAAATAAATGTTGAGCCACCTCTCTAACCCCTAAAAATTCAAAGTTGCCGAGTAAGTGCAAGAGGTACCTGTAGTTCTAATTAATATGACCTCTGCACCTGAAATACCTTGACAGATGGGTCCACTAAGTTTTATTAAAAACGACAGTAAATGAGAACGTAGGTCATGAAGCTGAAAGGGGACCATGAGAGGGGGCAAAAAGTTGTTAAAGAAGGAAAGGGAGTTGCTGGGCAAGGAAAGGTACAGGAGTTGGGGAGATGCCAAAATGGGGGGAGGTCAAGAGAAATTATATTTTAATTTTTGTGTGTGAATGCCATGTGTGTGCAGGTGCCCATGGAGACCAGAAGTGGGCAGTGGATCCTTTGGAACTGGAGTTACAGGCAATTCTGAGCCACATAATGTGGGTGCTGGGATCTGAACTCAGGTCCTCTACAACAGCAATGGTGCTCCTAACCACTGAACCATCTTCTCAGCCCCCAAGAAAAGATATATTTGGAAGTACTATAATAAAACTTAAATATTGTATGCTCATTTTTTTTTGAGACAGGGTTTCTCTGTGTAGCTTTGTGGTCTTTCCTGGAACTCACTCTGTAGCCCAGGCTGGCCTCGAACTCACAGAGATCCTCCTGCCTCTGCCTCCCGAGTGCTGGGATTAAAGGAGTGCACCACCACCGCCCAGCCTTATATGCTCATTTTTTTTTTTTTTTTTTTTTTTTTTTGGTTTTTCGAGACAGGGTTTCTCTGTGTAGCTTTGCGCCTCTCCTGGAACTCACTTGGTAGCCCAGGCTGGCCTCGAACTCACAGAGATCCACCTGGCTCTGCCTCCCGAGTGCTGGGATTAAAGGCGTGCGCCACCACCGCCCGGCCTATATGCTCATTTTTAAAAATAAAAATTTAGTATCTATTCTAGGTGCTAGCCAAAGCTTTATATGTATTAACTAGTCTAACCCGTACCTGTGAGACAGGTTTTTTTCACATGGAGAGACTGAGTCACAAACAGGTTCTATGACTTGCCTGAGATCAGCAGAGCCTCTCCTAGTGGCCAAATTATACTGTCTTTTCAAAAATTTTACTGCTTCTTGAAACAATAGCAAATATTCGCGAAAAAGCTAACACAAACCCTTTGTATTGATGACTGATTCACACTGAGTCCTGTTATTAGATTGTGGTATCTAATCTGGATCTTCCTGAGAGAGACTCTCAAAAAGAGAAGGGTCAACAAGGTGGCTCAGTGGGGAAAAGCCCTTGCTGCCAAAGCTGAGGATATGAGCTTGATCCCTGGAACTCAGAACTGACACCTGTGTGTCATCCAGTGACCTCCACACATGCACTGTGGTATGGGTGTCCCCTCCCAAGTAAATAAATGGAGTACAATTTTAAGACACATTGACCACAGCATTCTTGGTGATAAATAAAAAAAGGACATAAAAATATAGTCTGGATCACAGATGAGGGGCAGTTAGACAGAATGTCACCCTCTAATTCTCTGGAGCTTTATATTTTCTCTCTAAACTAGGGATGGTAACAGGATTCACCACATTCCTATTAAGATTTAATTGGCTGGATGTGGTGATGAATAATGTAATCTTGCCTACTCAGAAGTATTACAATATCCAGGCCAGCCTGAGAAATTTAGCAAGACTAAGTTAAAAAAAAAAAAAGATCTGGGGCTTGGTGGCACATGTCTTTAATCCCAGCAGTGGGGAAGTTTAAAAAAAAAAGAGGATCAGAAGTTCAAGGCTACATTTCCAGTTGAAGGCCAGACTGGACTACTCTTCGGTTGGTTGGTTGGTTAATTTTTTTTTATTTATTTATTTATTTTTATTTTTTTATTTTTTGCAACAGAGTTTCTCAATGTAGCCATTATTTTCCTGAAACTCGCTCTGTAGACCAGGCTGGCCTCAGACTTACAGAGATCCATCTGCCTCTGCCTCCCGAGTGCTGTGACTAAAGGTGCGCAATACCACTGCCCAGCTCAGCCTGGACTACTTTGTCTCAAAAAACTAATAAAGGAGTGGAAGCCAGTTGTGATGACCCAATACTTGGGAAGTGGAGACAGAACGATCAGTTCAAGGTTATCCTCATCTATGTAATGAGTTGGAGGCCAGCCTGGGTTACATGAGACCTTGTCTTTAAAACGAAAGGTACTTGCTTAGCATGTCTGAAGCCCTGGATCCTATCTCCTGTACCATATAAGCAAGCTACTTTAAACGTGTCCAACACTTTGTCCGATGAATATTTACAGTCTTGTTAAAGCTATATTTCTTGCCGGGCGGTGGTGGCGCACGCCTTTAATCCCAGCACTCGGGAGGCAGAGGCAGGCGGATCTCTGTGAGTTCGAGGCCAGCCTGGGCTATCAAGTGAGTTCCAGGAAAAGGCGCAAAGCTACACAGAGAAACCCTGTCTCGAAAAACCAAAAAAAAAAAAAAAAAAAAAGCTATATTTCTTTGTGCCAAGAAATACAGCTCATTCTTTAGCAATTGTTAGAGGATATTTTACAACAGTGATCCAGTGACAAAGGAGAAACCATCAACAGGATTCACCTATTTTTATTCCTCCAGTCAGTCAACCTAAAAACATTACTTAGTTGTTTGGTTTTTTTGTCAGCTTGACCCAAGTTAGAATCATTTGGAAAGAGGGAACCTCAACTGAGAAAATGCTCCCATCCCATTGGCCTGTAGGGATGTCTGTAGGGCATTTTCTTGATTAGTGATTGATGTGGGTGGTGCCACCTGTGGGCAAGTGGGCATGGGTTGTATAAAGAAGCAGGCTACAGCAAGCCATGGGCAGCAAGCCAGTATGCAGTGTTCCTCCATGATCACTGAGTCAGTTCCTGCCGTGATTTTTAGCCCTGACTTCCCTTAGTGATGGATTGTGACCTGGGGATTCTAAGGTGAAATAAACCTTTTTCTCCCCCAAATTGCTTTTGGTTGGTGTTTTATCACAGCCATAGAAAGCCAAATTAAGGGGGCTAGAGAGATGGCTCCGTGGTTAAGAGCACCAACTGCTCTTCCAGAGGCCTGGGGTTCAATTCCCAGCACCCACGTGGCAGCTAACAACTGTCTGTAACTCCAAGATCTGATATCCTCACATAGACATACATGCAGGCAAAACACCAATGTACATGAAATAAGAATATATTTTTGAGCCGGGCGGTGGTGGCGCACGCCTTTAACCCCAGCACTTGGGAGGCAGAGCCAGGCGGATCTCTGTGAGTTCGAGGCCAGCCTGGGCTACCAAGTGAGTTCCAGTACAGGCGCAAAGCTACACAGAGAAACCCTGTCTCGAAAAACCAAAAAAAATTAAAAAAAAAAAAAGATATTTTTGAAAAAGCCAAATTAATGACAGTTGATTATATTTACTGTAAAAGTCAGTTTTGAAAATTGGGTCAGCTGATGTTAAGGTACAGTAGGAAACTATATTACACCTTGAGTTTCTTTTCCTGCTTGCTTTTAAGAGAGCTTTTATTTGTTGGGGGTTGTATGCCACAGCACACCTGTGGATGTCAGAAGACAACTAGGGGCTGGGTTCTCTCCTTCCGCCTTTACAGGGATCTAGAGATTTAAAAACAAAGTCTTATGCAACAAATTACCCAGTGAACCATCTCCACCCTTCTTGCTTGCTTTTTGAGATAGGCTCTCACTATGTAGCCCAGGGTGGCCTAGAATTGACTAGACCAGGCTGGATTCAAATTCATGATCCTCCTGTCACCCCCCCCCCCCCCCCCCCCCCCCCGCCCGACTTTGACTTTGCTCCCTTTATAGGATTACCATTAGGCTAGACTTACATCTTGAATTTCAGCCTTGTAAATTCTGTTTATCTTTATGACTCTGAGATGAATATCTGAGATGCAGATTCTAGTTTAAAGTGAATAGCAGACAATTGGGATAGATTCCTTGGGTCAAACCCCCAAAGCTCTTTTTCCTAATTGCATCTTGTTATTTAAAACACTCAAGTCTCAATCAAGTTTACTAGGGGCAACCATCCAAGTCCAGTTACTCCCAGTGAACAGACACATGGATTCTCATTACATAGGTGTCTAGAGATTCATCACTGCTCTAAGAGCTAGAGAATGTTTTAGGAGTCAGTCCCTGCGTGTATGGCCAGTCTCTGTATATACTTTATTCAAGTTTTGCCTGGGGCCAAATTCGTGCTGCTGAGAAGAGTCTAAACCACTTTCACAAGAAAGTCATTATTTCTCATTTTTAGCAAGTAGTTGACATTCACTCTGTCCCTCTAACCCCAGTACTTTATCCCTTTGTATACAAAAGGTGTCAAGGGGAAAATGAATAGAACTCAAGGGGTGGAGCCTCTGTCCTTGTACGGGAAACTACAATCCTTTAATGCGCCTGCGAGGCTCCCACGCCCTGGGAAAGGTTCCTATCGATTTGCTCTGTGCTCCGCAGTTCTTTCTGGTTGCAGGCAGCCATCTTGCCTGGAGCTTGAGACAGGGAGGAGAGAAGGAACCGGTGACACCGGGCTCAGGGCCGCCCCGGGGGCCTCAAGAACCAGGGGCAGCCCCGGAGGTGGTCCTGGGTCCTGGGCTATGCTCTAGGACTAGAAAAGGGAAGACAGAGGGCTTGATGGGTGGGGAATGTCAAACAAGACTGGTTGGGTGGGGGAGGGGCGTTGCTAAGGCAACTGGGGAGGGCGGGGTCATGTCTGAATTGCTGCTGTGAGTCACCGGAGTGCTGCCCAGGAAAGGCAGGGCTGGAGTGATGACCATGCTAGCGACCCAGTGGGATTTCGCGACATCACCTGTGTGGAGGGACTTCGTGTCTATGGCAACTGTCACCTGGTGGAAGGGGCGGAACTAGATTTCCTCTGTCTGGGACGCCGGCATTCCAAGCCCTTGTCCTGCAGCCTCCCGCAGGCAGACACGCCATAGAAGGAAGCCAGGGAATGGCCGCGGTGTGGCAGCAAGTCTTAGCAGTGGACGCGAGGTGAGGCGTGGGGTTGAAGCCCATGGGAGCGGAACTTACTGTGGTGCATGAGCAATGGCGATAAGTGAGGCTGGGCGGAGAACTTGGCTGGTGCGGCTGCGTGAGCATGCGCAGTTAGCTTGGTGTGGGATATTCCCGCGGTGAAGTGGCCCGGCTAGAGAAGGGTCTAAAGAGCATGCTGGGAAAATGCGGTTAGATATGGACATGCGCAAAGAGACTGTCTTCGGGTGGGAAGTGGAAGTCTGGCTGGTGACTTCCTATCTAGCTCCTTATTGCCTGTCCTCTTCCCCAACTTTTCTTGATACCACTACCCTACTATTACTACCCAATTGCTACCCCATACTAACCTTTATCACTACTTGACCCTAACCTCCATTGCCATACATTGCCAATCTGACGTTTGTCGTCATGCTAGACTGATAATATAGATGGCCTAGACTGACCCCAACAGAGCTGCAGATTGACAATATTGTCTCCAGACTTACCTTTTCATCATACCTGTTATTAATGCAGAATTACTCCCATCACAGTACCAGGAAGAATCCCCTTTACCACTGTTAATCACTCTTACTATCCCAATCACTGCCAAACACCTCATGGCACTACCCTATGCCTCGAGCTGATTTATTCCCTCTGTCCTGTGCCTGCTGCCTGCCCTGCCTCCTGGACCCCACAGGTACAACGCCTACCGCACACCAACGTTTCCACAGTTTCGGACCCAGTATATCCGCCGGCGCAGCCAGCTGCTGCGGGAGAATGCCAAGGCTGGCCACCCCCCAGCCTTGCGTCGGCAGTACCTGAGGCTACGGGGCCAGCTATTGGGTCAGCGCTACGGGCCACTCTCTGAGCCAGGCAGTGCTCGTGCCTATAGCAACAGCATTGTCCGCAGCAGCCGCACTACCCTTGACCGAATGGAGGTGAGCTCCTGGCTGTACCACCTGCCATGTATCTCCCCTACCTCCATAGTCATCATGGCCTTTTGTCAAACACGGGTGATGCACAAAAGTACTGTTCTAGTGTCAGTAGAGGACTAAAAGGTAATATAGCAGCCGGGAGGCGGTGGCACCCCTTTAATCCCAGCACTCGGGAGGCAGAGGCAGGCAGATCTCTGTGAGTTCGAGGCCAGCCTGGGCTACAGAGCGAGTTCCAGGACAGGCTCGAAAGCTACACAGAGAAACCCTGTCTCAAAAAACAAAAACAAACAGAAAAGGTAATATAGCAACTAAGTCAATAAACATGATAAACAGGCAGTGAATTAGATAAACACAGAGCAAGTCAGATTAATGAGTTGATATTACCATGGTGTAGTAGAGAATGCTACAATAGGAATATAAAATGAACCTAGGAGACAAGAAGGAGTGAGAGATTGGTGCAGGGATGCAGTTCAGTGATAGAGTACTTGCCTGGTATGCGTGAGGCTGATGGTTCGATTCCCAACACAGCAAAGAAGAATGAAAAGGCACTACTTTTTTTGGGGGGGGGGTGGTGTTCGAGACAGGGTTTCTGCGTGTAGTTTTGGTGCCTGTCCTGGATCTTGCTTTGGAGACCAGGCTGGCCTCGAACTCACAGAGATCCGCCTGGCTCTGCCTCCCGAGTGCTGGGATTAAAGGCGTGCGCCACTGCCGCCTGGCTAAAAAGGCACTCACTACTTTGAGCTAACGGAGGAAGCTATGTTTAATAGGGAAGACTTCTCTGAGGAGGTAAAAATGAAACCTGGCTGAAGTGAGAGGCTGATTTGAGTGGTTTTCAGGGGTGGGGGGATAGTTATTCTTGGTGAGGCAACCGTGTTTGTACTGAGGATATGTGGAGCAGGGCAAGGGCAGAAACAGGCACTAGTGAAGAAACTACTGAAGAGGGCAAGTGAGCAGTGACGTGGTGGCAGGTGCCACGTGTGGTGAGAAGGGATCAGGTCTGGTCCGAGTTTGAAGTCTCCAGACTTCAGTGGTTCTCAAAGACTCATTTCTTTTTCTTTTGAGATAGGATCTCACCATGTAGCCCAGGCTGGCCTCAAATTCACTATGTAGCCAAGGCAGGCCTTGAGCTCAGTGATCTTCCTACCTCAGTTTCCCAAGTGCTGGAATTAGAGGCATGCACCGTCCCTGACCCTCTCTTGTTTGCAGGACTTTGAAGATGATCCTCGAACCCTGGGGGCCCGAGGGCACCGCCGTTCTGTCAGCCGAGGCTCCTACCAGCTACAGGCACAAATGAACCGAGCAGTCTATGAGGACAGGTACATACCAGAGGCAGGCAGTGGGTGGAGGTTCCCCAGGAGGAGAGAGGCCCTGGGATATGGCAGTCTGAACACCCACACCTACCTCCTATCGCCCCCTACTTCCTGTTGGGGCTCAGGCCTCCTGGCAGTGTGGTACCCACATCGGTGGCAGAGGCAAGTCGTGCCATGGCCGGGGACACATCGCTGAGTGAAAACTATGCCTTTGCAGGCATGTACCATGTTTTTGACCAGCACGTGGATGAGGCAGGTAAGATAATGGGTGGTGGGACCTATCACCAATCATTTGTTCAAACAACTATCCAAGGCATCATTTTTCCAGAATGCAAGGTCTCTGGCACCACACCTCAGAAGGAGAAATTACCACTCGTAAAACTGTTAGCAAATGCAAAAGCCCTCTGCAAAGTGGTCTGCAAAGTTTTTGTTACTTTAGGTACTGTAAAGAGCCGCAGAAACTCAAGAGAGCCCTTTTTAGCAGGCTATCTGAGTTCATGAGTCACTTGGAAGAGTTCAAAGCCTTTGCTGATAACTTCCTTGCAGAGGGTATAGTGGGCCACACTGTGTGGAGGGTTTGGCAGACTCCTGAGAGCTTGATTATTGTAAAGTACGCAGTAGTACAGTGCCAGCTTATTTTGCCTTGCAGAAGACCTTTGCTGTCCTCAGAGTGCCTGCTAGATTTAGAGAGCACGTTGGCAGTGGGTCTTGTAAGGTTTACAGCTGCCTTTGTCAGCCAAGGAAAGCCCGTTGTTGAGGTGACCATTCCTTTGCTCAGTGAATGTGTTGACTCCCACAAGTGACTATTTGGCATTTGCAGTCCCAAGGGTACACTTCGCCAATGACGACCGGCACCGCCTGGCCTGCTGCTCACTGGACGGCAGCATCTCCCTGTGCCAGCTGGTGCCTGCCCCACCCACTGTGCTCCATGTGCTACGTGGCCACACGCGTGGCGTCTCCGACTTCGCCTGGTCCCTCTCCAATGACATCCTCGTGTCCACCTCCCTCGATGCCACCATGCGCATCTGGGCCTCCGAGGACGGCCGCTGCATCCGTGAGATCCCTGACCCTGATGGCGCTGAACTGCTGTGCTGCACCTTCCAGCCTGTCAACAACAACCTCACTGTGGTCAGGCTCCAGGGCACCTGCTCACCCAGGGCGGGCAGGCTGGGTCTGGAGGGTTGTCATGGGGCACCAGAGTATAAAGTTTAATACCTGCAAGTCCTATCACAGCAGTCCTGTGGGCAGACTCAAAGAGAAACAGACCAACAAAAAGCACATTTCAGCCTGGTGGTGGCGCACGCCTTTAATCCCAGCACTCTGGAGGCAGAGGCAGGCGGATCTCTGTGAGTTCGAGGCCAGCCTGGTCTACAGAGCAAGATCCAGGACAGGCACCAAAGCTACACAGAGAAACCCTGTCTCGAAAAAACAAAAAACAAAAAAGCACAGTTCATGGTCTGAGAAGGCCTTGCTGTGGTAGACTTCGGGGCTGGGCTAGGCAGGGGGGTCATGGCCCTGGGCTTCCTCCAGTCCCATCACAGTCTTACAGTTTTCTGTCTCCAGAGGCTGCTGCTAGGGAGCAGGATGATGAGGCTGAAAGCTCTTCTAGTCTATCAGTGGCAGCCCTACTGTGGTCAGATTCTGGGACAGACTGGTGGGCAGAGGGCAGAGGAAGGACATGGAAAGCCCGGCGTGACCTGGGGGTAGAGAGTTGAAATGTAGGGGAACAACAGGCCATGAGTGAGCTAGTCCTTGGGGCCCTGTCTCATTTCAGTGCTAGCAGCTCTTGGGCTTCAAGAGGGGGCAGACCAGGGTGCAAGGGAAAGATGTAAGGGTATTTTAAGCTCAAGTTTTCAGACTGGCCGAGGGGCAGCATTTTGGCTCTGAGACTGCCTTTGTCTCATGAGCAACTGGCCTATTGCAGGCATATTGAGAGGATAGCTGGGGAGTAGGAATTATGCCTGGGTCACCTTCCAGGGTACCTGCCACAGTCCTACCGTGTTAAACTCAAGGATGGACTAGATGAGTCGGAATGAGAGTGTATGTATTCCACCCACAGGTGGGGAATGCCAAGCACAATGTGCATGTCATGAACATCTCCACAGGCAAGAAAGTGAAGGGCGGCTCCAGCAAGCTGACAGGCCGTGTCCTCGCCCTGTCTTTCGATGCCCCTGGCCGGCTTCTCTGGGCAGGTGATGACCGTGGCAGTATCTTCTCCTTTCTCTTTGACATGGCCACAGGTAGGCAGGCCACAGACCTCTGGTTAGGTGCCCTCTTCTTTTGATTCTCCCAGGACTCAGTCCTTGTCCTCCCCTTTGTCTCCACTGATTCAGGGAAGCTGACCAAAGCCAAGCGACTGGTCGTGCATGAGGGCAGCCCTGTAACCAGCATCTCCGCCCGCTCCTGGGTCAGCCGTGAAGCACGGGACCCCTCCCTGCTCATCAACGCCTGCCTCAACAAACTGCTGCTCTACAGGTGGGTTCCTCCCCTATCGGGGCCATCGGGGACAGCAGAGTGGAACAAGACCTGTCTCCATCACATTCATTTCACCAAGGACAGGGGTCTGACCTCACAGTATGATGAGGGTAGGGTTGGGGATGTAGCTTAGTGGCAGAGTGCTTGTCTAGCAAGTGTAAAGCCCTGGGTTCCATCCCCAGAAACACACACACACACACACACACACTAACTACATAGTATGGTGATACATGGCCTATAGTGTACACAGTGTACAGTATGACAATAGCAATAGCAACATAAATAATAATAGCATTAATGAGCCTCTACATGAGCATTGCTATGGCCAGGCCCTGTTCAAAGCACATCATACATACCACCTTCTTTAATCCCCACAACAGCCTGGAAAGTAGATACTGTTATTGTCTCAGATGGTATAGTTAAGCAAACTAAGGCAAAATACATAAAGAGCTGAGAAAGTAGCTCAGTGGTAGAGAGAGCACTTGCCCAGCATATATGAGGCTGTGGATTCCACTCCCAATACTATGACTAAAGGAAAAATATCAGCACGTGTTTCCCTTTGTTTTGATTTTTTTCACATTTATTTATTTATTTGTGTGTGTGTATGTGTGTACGCGCACATGCATGCCAGTGTGAGTGTTCACATATCATGGAACTATATGGAGGTCCGAGGACAGCTTGTAGAAGTTTATTCTGTCCTTCCATGCAGGTCCCAGGACTTGAACTCAAGTTGTTGGGCCTGGCAGCAAGTGTCTTTACCTACTTGAGTCATCTCTCCAGCTCCCTTTCTTTTTCCTTATTTGGTGCTGGGAATTGAACCCAGAGCCTTGTACATGCTAATAACACTCTACCACTGAGATTCACCCATAGCCTATATTATTTTGTTCTTTTGATTTGAGGACAAAATTCATTCTTCCCACCCATCTCTGTCATGTTTCAGTTCTCTAGCTAGGGTGCAAAACCTAATGACCAGAATCACTTCAAAAAAACTATGCTTTTTAAAGCTGGACATAAGCTCATGCCCTGCCGGGCGGTGGTGGTGCACGCCTTTAATCCCAGCACTCGGGAGGCAGAGGCAGGCGGATCTCTGTGAGTTCGAGGCCAGCCTGGTCTACAGAGCGAGATCCAGGACAGCCAGAGCTGTTACACAGAGAAACCCTGTCTCGGGGGTAGGAGGGAGTGCATGTCCTAAATCACAGCACTTGGGAAATAGGGGCAGGTTGAGCTCTATGAGTTCAAGGCTAGACTGATCTACATAGCAAGTTCCAGGCCAGCCAGAACTACACAGTAAGATCCTATCTTTAGGCGGGAGAGATGGCTCAGAGGTTAAGAGCACTGACTGCTCTTCCAGAGGTCCTGAGTTCAATTCCCAGCACCCACATGGTGGCTCACAGACCATCTGTAATGAGATCTGGCGCCCTCTTCTATGTACATAATAAATAAATAAATCTTTAAAAAAAAAAAAAAAGATCCTATCTTTAAAAAAAAAAAACTTACTTGTTGCTCTTACAGATGAGTGAGGTTCAGTTCCCAGCACCCACATGGCAGCTCACAACTCTCTGTAATTCCAGTCCAAGGGATCCAACACCCTCTTCTGGCCTCCTCCAGTACTATACACTCATGGTGCACAGACATAACATGCAGGCAGAACACCCATACACATAAAACGAAAATAAAGAAATTGAAAAAAAAATGCTGGGGGTGATGATAGATACCTGTGATGCCAGCACTCTAGGGCTGAAGCAGGGGGATCACTTGAATGCCTGAGTTCAAACTCAGCTTGTACAACATAGTAAGACTGTCTCCAAATGAAAAAACAATCTGAATTTCATGACCACTGTGAATGTCTCAGATACAGTATTCAGAACATAAACTGTTGGTCATCTCCTGAGGCTGAGGCTCTGCCCTGACCCCCTTTCTTTTGCCTTCTCTTCAGAGTGGTGGACAATGAAGGGACTCTGCAACTGAAGAGAAGCTTCCCCATTGAGCAGAGCTCACACCCTGTGCGCAGTATCTTCTGCCCTCTCATGTCCTTCCGCCAGGGGGCCTGCGTGGGTGAGTGCTCAGAAGCAGGGGACCTGGGGAACTGGGAAGAGGCAGAGACCACTACTACTGCTAGCCTGGCTCCATCACCATGACACCCTGATGCCATGACTTCCTGGGCCTTGTGCTCCCTTGTGCCCTAACAGCCTCATGCCTAAACACTTTCAACATGGAGCCACAAACAGCTTGGGAAGTTCATAGCTGAGACACAGAACCCAGACTTGCCTAAAACCTCCCATACTGCCCACAGAACCAAAGGAGGCAGATGAACTCCCATCTAGGGATGGTTCCTTTTAGACTACCCCAAGCTACGTGAGGCCCTCCCACCTCACACAACCTCATGGACTTGCCACCAGCCTCCTGACCCTCTCTCCCTCTTATCCGGACAGTGACAGGCAGTGAGGATATGTGTGTTCACTTCTTTGACGTGGAGCGGGCGGCCAAGGCTGCTGTGAACAAGCTGCAGGGCCACAGTGCACCTGTGCTTGACGTCAGCTTCAACTGTGACGAGAGTCTGCTGGCCTCCAGCGACGCCAGTGGCATGGTCATCGTCTGGAGACGGGAGCAAAAGTAGGGTTCTGCCAGCCCTGCACTGCCCCCGCTCCCGCCGCTCCCTCCTCTCCCTCCCGTCTTGTGTTGTAAATAAAATTTCTGTGGTTGTGTTGAGGGGCCACTCCCAGGTCTCCCACAAGGGGGCACTAGGGAGCACTGAGCCCTCCAGTGAAAGGGAGATGGCTTCCTCAGTTGTGCAGTACTGTGTTCATCCATGCAACAAGCACTGAGTATCTGCTGTGACATATCACGTAGTTGTGCAGTCAGTGGACAGGAATGAGAGCAGCAACTGTGTTGTCAGGAACTGTTCTGAAAAGGAGGGATCCTGCTGTGGCCTCAACCAACGGAAATCCCTGCCCTTGTGGGCTTGCATCCTAGGGGACACAAACACACCGTGTACAAAGTACAGCCATTCCTTGGAGTATAATTTGCTTTATAATTTTTCAACTTTTTGACCATACAGTGCTACAGAACCACACACATACACCTGGTCTTGTTTTGCTACTTTCAGTATGGTGTTCAGTAAATTACATGAGCTAGTCAACATTTTGTTATAAAATAGCCTTTGCATTAGGTGAGTTTGCCTACCTGTAGAATAATGTCACTGTTCTGAGCCCATTTAAGGTAGGTGGGGCTAAGCTAGGGTGTTTGGTAGGTTAGGTATAGTAATGCATTTTCGACATACGCTAGTTCAAGTTAAGGCAGATTGGTTGGGATCTAACCCTGTTGAGTGGAGAAGCATCTGTACATAGTAGGCTAGTTAAAGATGGGCGGTGTGGAGACGCTGAAAGGAGGAAAGGGGATGAGGTTGCAGGGATGGGAGCGGGGAGCTGCTTTGGGCGATGTCATTTGAAGATCCGAATGAAATGAGGGAGGTCATCATGGGGGGGTAGAAGAACATCCTCAACAGAAAGAAAGGCTAGCGCACAGGCACTGAGACTGGAGTGTGTCAGAGTATGATCCGGCTGAGTGTGACACATGACGTTAGGTCTGGAGGGCTTTGTGGGCCATGCCGAGGAGCTTGCCTTTTCCTGGGTGAGGGAAGTTGGGGTGCAGGACCAGACAGCAATAGAGAAATTAGGAGAGGAATGGTGAGTTCAACCCCAAGGGTTTCATCAGATTAGATTGTAAAAGTTCCCAACCTGACAGCTTCTGGCTAGGTGAACCCCACTCTTATCTGTGCATTGACTTGTGGCCCCCAACCAGGGAGCAGAAGTGGTGTGTTGAGTTCTTGGAGTTCTAGATTTGGCATACAGGCAGCCATGGACTCAGGCTGAGCTACAGCTCCTCCTATGGGGAGGAAGAAGGAGAAAATCTGTAAGCTCACCCCTAGCTCCTCCCATGTCCATCCAGGGCCCTAATTTAAGCCCTTGACCAGCTCAGAGGCCAAATACTAAATTAGTTCATTATTGGGTATTGACAAGGAAATAAGTTCCAAAGTCATTGTCAATGATTAGAATCGTGAAGAAATTTCAGTTTGAAGAATCACCAGGGGCTCTTAAAGCTAATTCTCCCAGATCCATGTGCTGCTACATTTGCATCAGTTGGAATCTTGGCTAACATCTTGGGACTTCAGAGTCACCAACCTGGTAGCACAGTATTGCTGAGCTGTGGAACTAACAGCAGCTCTTTGAGGGAAGAAGATAATTCCCTGTTTATTTAATCTGTCGTTTAATAGTGTGATCACTTGTAGCCAAAGCATTTCTGGCTCCATCAGACAGATCTTAGGCAAATGGTTATGAGATAATGATACCAGTGAGCTGGACTGGTCACGTTGTCAAAATCATATATGTGTGCCAACATTCCTAACCCAGCTTGAGGGTCAGTGATTTCCTATGAAGACAGACAGTACAGCTGACAGATACAGTGAAGGGTACCACACACCAATTAAATGCTAATCTTCAAAGAGACCCTCCCAAGGATAACAGTTCAGACTTGTGTGTTAACTCTCTGCTGCACCAAATAGATACGGTTTCAATCAAGGTCTAGAGGGAGCAAGATAATTTGGGGAAATACCAGTTTTCTCGAACTTCCTTTTCTTCACACTCTCCATTTTCTTTAGTGAGTCTGGTTTCAGGATGGTTGATGAATATTGTTTGCATGATTTGGGGGGTTTCCTCCTTGTAAAATTTTTGAGGTGGCAGAATTGACGTTCTACTTTAATTTCATCTTGGTGACACTTTTAACTCACAACCTAAAGGAACCTAAACACTGAGTAAACAAGAAAGAATAAAAAATAATGCTGTTGGTCAACCTTGGGCCTCTTTTACTTTGTCATCACTGTGCCTCTGGCTTGACGTCAGAATTGTCATCATTCCATCAGAGCTAGTCCTGGTCTACGCCCTTTGTCTATTTTGACCCTAGGTGCTAGTCATGTGCTGCACTATCAAGAGCAGCTCGGGGCTAAGCCCGGAGCTGAGCATTTCTTTAACTATTCCCCACCAGTGTGTACCACTAGTCAAGCCTAAAACCTGAGCTTCCACCAACACTTGTCCTACTGATCTGACTTTGAACTTGAATATGGACTTCTGTTGTTTTTGCTCTGATGAGTCTCGATCTTAACCTTATGTCTGGAATTCTATTTTACCATCAGTTCCCCTAATGTTACTAGTTCTGACCTCTATACTGGCAGGAAATGCCCATATGATCCAAACTTAAGCCCAGGCCTCTGTCAACTATTCTACCATTACTGGCTCTTTGGTCAAGCCTCAGATCTGGGCATTTGTTTGGTTTTGTTCCTAGGGATGGAGCCCGGACCTGTGTGTGTGTGTGCTGAGCAAAAGTTCTGCCACTGAACTATAAACCCTGTTCCTGGGTATTTCTTACTGTGTCCTCCACCAATGCCTATCTACTGTGGTCTCAAACTCAAACACTGTTTTGAGACAGAGTCTCTCTGTGTAGCCCAGGCTAGCCTCTAACTGTCTTCCTGCTTCAGCCTCCCAAGTGCTGGATTACAGGCATTCACCACCAAGCCTAGCCAGATACTTTAGAGTAATTTTTGTTTCAATTTAAAATCATTTTTACTTTATGTGTATGGTTGTTTTGTCTGTATGCCATCAATACCTGTGGTATCCACAGAGGCCAGAAAGGTGTCAGGTCTCCTGGAACTGGAGTCACAGACCCATCTGTAGGCCACCATGTTGGTGCTGGGAACCAAACCCGGGTCCTCCGAAAGAATAACTGGTGCTCACAGCCACTGAGCCATCTCTCCAGCCACCAGATACTTGCAAGTCTACTGTTGTTGGTGTCCGTATGGCCTACTCTGAAACCTGGATCTCTGTTGATGCCTCCACCATCAGGACCACTGCCTTTACTCTTGGCTTCAGTCTGCTTCAGCCTTCCATCAGTGTCATGGTATCCTACCTCCAACGTGGGACTCTGTGCTTCTACTCTCAATCCGGCTTTCCAAGACCATTGAATCCAGATCTGGGGTAACTCACGAGCAATGCTCTTCAGCTCCAAAACCTGAAGACTTAAGCCTCTGTTGGTTTTCCCATACTCAGTGCTTCTGGGACCTCAGTACAGTAGTACCCTGTTGATACTTTCCAGATCTTCCCTCCAATGCTGGCCTCTCTTTGTTTTCTTTTCCCCACTGCCCACTGGCCTATGGTTTCTATTCCTCTATACTACTCTGATCTTGAACCTTAGGCAACATCAGTTCCTCTTGGCATGCCTTACACTCTTGTGTCTGGTAACTATTCTATGACCTTTTCTACTTGGTTCTAATCCTCAACTCCCCCAAACTGTTTCACCACGAATGCCCTTTTAGTATTTAGTATTTAGTATTGAAATTCTGGATGAATATTCTTTGGCTCAACCTTGAATCTAGGTCTCTTGGTTAATATCCCGCCACCACTAACCCTCTGCTCCAGCTGGGCGTTTGTGAACTCTAGCACTATCAAAACATGTCTGGTCTGACCTTGAATCAGACTCCATAAAAACCTCCTGTAGAGGCTGGAGAGATGACTCAGAGGCTAAAAGCCCTTGCTGCTCTTCCAGAGGACCCAAGTTGGGTTCCCAGCACCCACATCAGTTGGCTCATAACCACCTTTAACTGCAGCTCCAGTGGATTTCAATCCTTCTGGCTTCTGCAGATACACACACATGGCACACACATACATAGACATACACATATATACGAAATAAAATCTTTTTTATTTTGTTTGGTTTTGGTTTTCTGAGACATGATTTCTCTATGCAGCCCTGGTTGTTCTGGAACTCACTTTGTAGACCAGGCTGGCCTCAAACTTAGAGATCTGCGTGCCTCTGCCTCCCAAGTGCTGGGTCTAAGGGCATGCACCACCACTGTCCAGCTCATGCAATCTTTTTAAAGTAGAAGTCTTTTGAAATTTTTGTTTATATTTTTCATTTTTATTTTATGTATATGAATGTTTTGTCTGCACATGGGTGCCTGGTGCCTATGAAGGTCACAAGAGAGCACCAGATCCCCTGGAACCACAGTTACAGGTGATTGTGAACCACCATGTGGACTCTGGGACTCCAGCTTGGGTCCTTCGCAAGAGCAACAAGTGCTTTTAGCTTGCTGGGCCTCTTAAGCAGAGGTCTTTCTTATTAACTACACAACCACTGCTCCTCTGACATAGCCTCGAACTCAGGCTTCCATGAAATCATCTAGTTTCATCGGGGGAGATGGGTTGTCTCTGCAAATACCAGGCTTGGCAGAATCATGCATGACACTTGTGAGGCAAGAAGAAAATCTGGGGCCACAGAAATGGCGCAGTGGTTAAGAGCATGGGCTGCTCTTACAGAGGACCCAGGTCCAATTCTCAGCACACACATGACAACTCACAGCTGTCTGTAACTCCAGTTCCAAGGAATCCGACACAATCACACAGACATGCATGCAGGCAAAAATACCAATGCACATAAAATAAAAATAAATCATTTTAAAAATATTACAGTAGCTATTGCTCCTATGGCTACAAATACCCAAATATCCAGTAGTGACTGACCCGGTGATTTCTTCAATCTTCTCACCTATCTCCAGCATAGGACCTTACAGAGAACATCTACAGAATGCAGACATTTATTGAGGAGGTGATATGTGTCAGGCACTGGGCCTAAGCATTACACGGCTTTGCAGAGATGATTGACGTTCCTCACGTGATCAGCGCAACCAACAGTCAGTTGGGTCACAAGGCAGATTTTTAGGGGAGTTCTCAAAGTGTTGGGTCCCTTAAAGGGCAGTTTACTGTGGTTTTGAGAACTGTGGGTTCACACAAGGAGGGCGGTTTAAAACGGTTGGGAGACTCTTGGGTCCCTGGAAGAGGATCTAGCTACATTCTAAGTCCTGACTTCCGGAGTCGTTAACATACGTCACAGCAGCTTCATAAGTCCGTTTAGTCAGGTTCTGCTGCGCGTAAGTGCGCGGCTGCAAGGCAGAGTACTAGTCTACTGTGCCTGAGGCCACGAGTTCACGGCCCACCTCCCCTTTCCCTTTTTCATAAGCCCCGCTCTCTCCTGATCTTTTCTTTCCCTCATACATTTCACTACTATGACCTCAGTATTTGGTTCTCTGAGACATGTGAGAGGGATGGGAGGAAACTCAGGAGAAAAAGCCATATTTTTAGTCCTTACAAGGTTTATCTCATGTCATCTTTTTTTGGTATTGTTTTGGTTTTTGGTTTTTGGCTGGTCTCAAACTCATAAAGGTCCTCCTGCCTCTGCCTCCCTTGTGCTCAGATTAGAATCGCGCCCCACCACTGCCCATGCACGATACAGACACTTTTAAAACAAGTTTCGTAGATGGAGAGATTGTGAGCTACAGCCAAGGTTGATTTAAAAAAAACCTTCACCAGTGGTTTGGAGAGGCCATGAATATCCAATAAATGAGCGGGAAGTCAGAATGGAGACCTAGAAACTGTGAAGGTGAGGCATGAAGTGAGGAAGGATGGGAGCTGGAGATATTGTGTGTTTTGAACCTGTAAGATCAGCACATTTAACCGTCTTTCTTCTATTTTCAGATAAACAGTTCATTGCTAACTGTTTGTACCCTAGTGTCCTTTATCTAGAAGTACAGGGTTCTGAGTCTTAGGTCTGTGTAAATGGGTTTAACTAGGTTATCAGCCTGGACTTCACTAGTACTCTTTAGCCTGGGTCATAGTCTTTTTTACGCCTTTTGAGAGGCCGCAAAGCCCCCTGGGAATGTAGCCTAGGGGCAGAGTTCTGGGTTTCCGTGTAGAAGGCTTAGGTTCCATTCCCGGTGTTCGATTCCTTCACCGCCCGGTTTCCCTGCTTTTCTAAAGTTGTTTTTGAGTTTTTTTGTTCCCAAACCCAATGAATCTTATGTATCATTAGCCAATGAACCAAAATACGTCCCTCATCCCATACATATGCAAATATGTCAACCAAAAATAAAATGAATAAAGGATGTGTAAGATTACAGCAGCTAGGGCTGGAGAGATGACTCAGTGGTTAAGAGCACCGGCTGCTCTTCCCAGAGGACCTCAATTCTCAGCACCCACAGGACAACTCACAGCTGTCTGTAACTCCAGTTCCAGAGGATCCCACACCCTCACACAGACATGCATGCAGGCAAAAATACTAATGCACATAAAATAAAAATAAATAAATCACTTTTAAAATATTCCAGCAGCTATTCTTCCTATGACTACAAATACCCAAATATCCAGTAGTGATGGACCAGGTGATTTCTTCAATCTTCTCACCTATCTCCCGCACAGGACCTTACACAGAACATCTACAGAATGCAGACATTTATTGAGGAGGTGATATGTGTCAGGTACTGGGCCTAAGCATTACACGGCTTTGCAGAGATGATTGACGTTCCTCACGTGATCAACACCACCAACGGTCAGTTGGGTCACAGGAGGATTTTTTAGGGGAGTTCTCAAAGTGTTGGGCCCCTTAGAAGTCAGTTTACTGTGGTTTTGAGAACTGTGGGTTCACGCAAGGAGGGCGGTTTAAACCGGTTGGGAGAGTCTTGGGTCCGTGGAAGAGAATCTAGCTACATTCTAAGTCCTGACTTCCGGAGTCGTTAACATACGTCACAGCAGCTTCATAAGCCCGTTTAGGCACGTGTTACTCTGCTTGAAGTTGTGGTCTCGAGGCAAAGTACCGGGCTACTATGCCTGACTCCACGGGTTCAATTCCCCCCTTTCCCTTTTTCGTGAGCCCCGCTCTCTCCTGATCTTTTCTTTCCCTCACACATTTCACTCCTCTGACCTCAGTATTTGGTTCTCTGAGCCACGTGAGAGGGATGGGAGGAAACT